GTTTGCAAAACCTAGAAACCTTTGAAGTTGTCTTCGGTTCTCTGGAACTGGGCAGTCGAAGACTGCTTTGATTTTGTCCTCTGAAGGTTTTGCCTGTCCGCCCTCGAGCACAAACCCCAAAAAGGTGACTGAAGGTTGATGGAATTCGCACTTCTCGGCTTTCACGAACAGCTTATTCTCCAGTAGTCTCTGTAAGACAAGACGGACATGTCTCTTGTGTTCCTGGAGGTCCTTGGAATAGATGAGAATGTCATCAATGTACACAAAAACAAACACGTTGAGGAAATCTCTGAGAACATCATTAACCAAAGCCTGAAAGCAGGCAGGAGCGTTTGTTAAACCGAAGGGCATCACCAAGTATTCGAATTGACCCAAAGGTGTCTTAAAGGCAGTTTTCCATTCATCGCCCTCTCGTATCCTAAGGCTGATCTAGAGAAAGATGCTGGAGAAAGATGGGATTTTCTCCAGCTCCCAACAATAATTTTACAAGTTATCATAGGTATACATCAGCTATGAAAGATAAAAAAACAAAACAAAAAAAACAATGGAAAATTACAATTTAGGATTTCTGAAAAATGTGTTTGCACATTACTTCCTAGCTTTACCTTTATTGGCAATGACAGAGTCAAATGTTTCCCATAAGTCTTCACCAGGATAGTGCATAGCCTATTGTAGCTAGTATTTTTCTTCAGTGATCTTTTGAGGCTACCCTTTGGCAACAGAGACTTTCAACTCCCTCCATAATACTCTTACTTGGTAAAGGTCTGAAAACTGACTTGGTCCCCATAGGACCATGAGTTGTTTTTGTTAGGAGCCTCTTCTTAGTTGCCTGATTGGAGCATTTGGGATCATTTGGAACTTTTTCATATTCTTGACATAAACTTCTCTCCCTAGTGTGGGCTCCTGCAGATGTGTCACGTCAAATTCAACAAACATTCCTAACTTCAGTAAATGGTCCTAAATCATGGGTCGGCAACACAAACTGTTCAAAAACAAATCTGTCTGTAGCCTTGAAAATGTGAAAGTCTTATCATATGGCAACATGTGGGGGGGGGGTTCCAATCCCTGCATCTGTCATGATGTTACTAAGTTCAGACCCATCAGAGCACCACCTGCTCGATACGTGAATAATTTTCCATGCTTTGCAACAGAACTAGCAGCATCAGTTGTCATGATCATGGCGCTAATGACTGATGATGATGATTAATCATTTCATTCACCTGCCGATCTCTGCCTAATTTTCATTACCGTTTATCTGATCCACCTGCTCCAGCCGTCATTTAACTTCAACCCATCATCAGTGCCAGATTATTCAAGGCTTTGGTGAGAGTTCTCTAGCGTACCTGGGGTGTTTCTGATTGCCTGATCCTGAACCGCTCTGTCTCTGGACCTCTGAGCCTGCCTGCCCCCCTTTCTGATCTGTTTGCCTGACCTGTCCTCAGAGTCCTGCTGGATTCTACCTGTGTAGGGAACTTGAAACTGACTCCAGACACCATCCTGGACTTCTCTTCGGTACCTATGTTATCTCTGATCTGCTGGTTCTGAATCCTGAACATAGCCTTGACAGTGGCTTTGGCCTCGCCCTCTGGATTATCCTGCCTTTCTTTGCCTGCCCGAATCTGATCTCCTGCCTGTTCTTTGACCTCTGGGAATTAGCACCTGGGACTCTCTGTGCGCTGCCCGTCGCTTCTTGTTGGAAGCCCACCGGCTTCAACCAACCTTACCCTCTGGCCATGGACTGAACTTTAATACCAGGTTAGTGACTTACACATTCACGTCCAGATAGACGTGGTCACTAACCTGTGTTTTCCTCCTGCATAGGTTCCTTAGATGCCAGTGTTGTCCTCTACACTTGCGTCTGTAATAAATATTTTTAAAACTCTGTCTGCCTTGAAAACTGGATACTTTTTTCAGAGCCTGAGAGTAGTGGAGTTTGCAGATGAAATTAAATTCTTAAATCTATCTTTGCTCTCCTGTAAATTATCCAGAAGTGACGCAATCACACTTTCTCTCTCACTGCCAACTTTGTGATTGGTTGTAAATTTAGCATGCCTTACCTGGAAATGCTTTTCCAAACTACTCTTTTTATTTTATTGCAACTTCTAATTACAGAGCACACATGCAGGCAATCCTTCTGCATTAGTAATGAAAGCAAATGATTTGGTCCATTATTCTTTGAATCCTCTGTTTTCATCAGCTAAATTTTTTCCCCTTTGGGA